TTTTTTTTTTTTTTTGCATCCCAGTCCCATTTTTTTGCATCCCAGTCCCATTTTTTTTTCTTTCCTGGGCCACCCTAACCTGTGATAAAGGCGCACATGTGTGATAATGTAATGGTTGGTTAAGAAACATAGGATTTCAAGTTTCAGAGTTAAATCCAACCGAGACTGACCATAAATCACGGAGATGAGTTAAGAAGCTGGAGATGAGAGAAATGGATTCCAAACAGCAATGTAGTCTACAGCACTGAAAGGACAGGGAGGGGAATCCCACACCAAACTGATGGGAATTTCCCTTCCCTCCTGAGGTGACCACAACTGAGTAAGCTAGGTCCCTGACATTTCTATTTAAGGAAGTAGGTAAATGGGAGGCTATCTTACTCCATAAAACATTTCAGGGAGAAGTAAACACTTAGCCAGATGAGTACACAATCAAGTCATCTTGAAAACTGGCTGCTTCTTTCAACAGAGGGCATGATTTATATTCTCGTTTCTTTTTTTAATTACAAGAAGTGTTTCACTTGTAAGATGACCTGCATCAGAAAGAAGCCAATCCACTTAGGATTTTAAAAATCTGGAGAAACTTGGGACAGCACTTGAATGTCAGGCTGTCCTGCCAACACACACAAAGGTTTCTCCCCGCAAGGTAAATGCCCCAAGACAAGGTCAGTATTAACTAGACGGCAAAACAAGTAAGAATGGTCCACTCTGATCACTAAGGTATGCAAACCAATAGATATTTCCAAGGTCAGACACAGTAAACTGCCAACTAAGTATGAAATGCACGCTTTGTATGAGGTTGTACAGAACACACCAGTGGTAACCTTAGGCACCGGGGACGTTTCGAAAACAAACATGCTTCTTTAACTTACAGTTTGAGTTTGCAAAAATTCGTTTTCAAGTATGTGTTCGGTGGATAAGAGGAGTTGGCAAGGAGTGGGTTTGGGAACGTTCCGACATGCAAATAGGTTTTGTTATGAATTAAAAGCCAGGTAAAACTCTGTCCCGTGAAAATAAAGGGTGGAGTCTGGTAAGCTAAGGACTAGAAGGGTGCGGACGGCGCTCGGAGGAGCAGCTGTTGCCCAAGCCAGCCGCGGAGTCACGGCGGAGGGAGGGAGAGAGAAGGGCCACCGGAATGCGGAAAGCCGTGGTTCAGCCCCGGGGCCAGCCTGCCTTGGAAAGTCCTGGCGCGGAAAGGCGCACTAACCGACCCCCGAACAACAGCGCCGATCCGCGCCGCTACTTCTCTAAAGCTGGCCCTCCCGGATCGGGTCGTCGCCGCCGAGCGCGCGTCCTCCCCAGAGGAAACAGGAGCGGGACAAAAGTGCCGCTCCCCCCAGCCACCTCGGCCGCCCGATCCCATCCGCCGCCGCCGCCCTCCCCTCCCCCTCGTCCGCCCGCCCCCGCACACCTTCACGCGGTTGAGCCCGGCTTCCAGCCGGAGCTGTTGAACCACTTTCTTCATAGCGGCGACGCTGGAGGAACCCGACATGGCGCTCGCGAGAGCCGGGCAGATTCGTCGTTGCGTGAATCGGTCCGGTAGAGGGTCCGCGGGGTCTGACGGCGGGGCAGCGCGGCGGGGGGCGGGGCTCCGAACTTTGTCTCTTAAGTTTCCGGTTCTTTGCCCAGCGGCTCCACCCGCGGCGCGCATGCGTGTCCTCCACGGCTCTCAGTTCCAGCTCCTCTCCCCACGCAGGAGCGGAGCCGGAGGGAGGGGAAGAAGGGAGTGAGAAGGGGAGGAGCGCGCTTTGGGCAGAGGAGCAGCGGGAAGCCAGCGAGACCTGTTGCCCATCTTCCTCTCCCGAGAGGCCGACTTAGGACAGGTAAAGAAAAAGCTCCTCATTAGCCGCCAACACTCGAGGGAAACCTGAAAAGGACTGGTTAGGAAAGGCGGGTGCTTGAAGGAGTTTATAAAAGGCCTGCTGGACAGGTGACAAAGAGGTTCCAGTTTTCCTGACGGCCTTGGCGGCAGAGGTTGTGGGAAGAGAAGGGCCCAGCCGAGGAGTAGGAGCCTGAAGTAGCCGGCGCGAGTTACGGACACCCCGTCTCCTTAGAGACGCGTCTCGAAAACGCTACCCGAGTTTGTGG